GAGAGCTTTCCGACTTTTCTTAATTTAATAAGTTTGGCAGCGACAAGCACGTGACAATAAATACCTTGCGACATTAGGAATAAGATTCAGGTTAATTTTTTTTTTGTAGAATTCTCATTATGTGTCAAAAATGTGATTGCTATAATATGCTTGCTGGACTCCTGGTGAAGGTTCATTTCCCCATCTGTGTTATTCAGCGATATTTTTACTTTAACCCAGGAATCGTCATTGCACAGCGTCCGGCCCGGTAAATCAATGCTGCCTATGTATTACGTATACAAGTCATCGCTTATGTGCTTATGTACTTCTAGTACATAGCGAGCGGTTGTACTGGTATAGTACGCGTGTACGTAGATAATCTCGTCATAGCTCGCACCCGTTATGGTATTACTGTGTGTGGGCGAAGGGGGCTGTTTGGGGCGCGGGTGGGACCCGCGAGTGCCGCAGGGTGGCGCTGTCCGCTTTAAAAATACCGAGGCGCAGCGCTACGCGAGGAAGCCGTTCATTTGAGAGACCGCGAAGACTTTCAACCTGCTTCTGCGTCCCTAACAGCTGCTCACCGAGTAATGAATTATAAAAAAAACTTGGCTTTTAATATAATTTTAGCACATCGAAACTAATTTCAGTGCAAAATTTTGGAACTTTTCTCACAATTATACGAATCAAATAATTGTTAATATAATATCTGTCTAGTTGTCAACAGGAAACAAAATGTCGAAATAAGTATTGTGATCGGAACTTTGGAAAGTTGTTCAAGTATATTATAAATTTTGTTTATAGGTAAATTATTGTTTTCCCTTTGTAAAACAGTAGACGGTGAAAATCAAAATATACAAATTATATTAACCGTGCCTACTGATTGTATAATCGAACTGGCCACAACAGCCAAAGTTAGCGTAACTTGATCAATACGCATCATCTTCGTATAAATATGTAAGAAAGCGTTAAGGATGTGACGACTGTCGGTCATTATCGATAATCGTGGACTTTGGGCTTCTGACGGTGGCGCGTTCGAAAATTTATTTTGTTCGTATTTTCATAATTGGGTGCGGGTGGCTGGGCGATGGGTGGCGCCGTGGGCGTCATCGCACCCCTCGCGTGGGTATTTAATGATTATGCGCTGACTGCCACCTGATTGCTACGCTATGCCATGTTGTCGATGATTGTTTATCGATATTTTATTTCACACTATAGAGACACATTCACACTTGAAGCTAGTTAAGGGTAGTTCGTTGTTCATTCATTTATTGTATTCAAAATTATTGAATTCGTGGTAGTTATGAATCGTCAAAAGATCAAAATGTAATTAATGTTATAAAAATGTTTATATTTAAATTAAAAAAAAAAATCTGTTCAAGATGAAGAATACATTTTTTTTTTATTTAATTAATTCTATTTTTTCGTAAAAGTTTCGGAGTAAAGGAGTAATGGTGCCCCTTTTTCATCTAGTAGGATATAATTAATACATATAAATGATAATATCGAATATAATTGTTAAAATTTTATGATAAGTGCGATATTATGGCATATCTGAATCAACGAAGGTACTGTCCCTACAACACCCAGACCTGAAACATTACAAAAAAGTTAATTGGTTACATCGACCCGATCAGGAATTGAATGACGGCCTTGGAGATAGCGAAAACATGAAACTTTAATGCTTTGCTAATTTTTTTTTGAAAATAATGATGTTAATTTTTAAAATACTAGGTTATCGACTATCGATATACTTGCCATGGGCCCATTACGCACTCGCGGGGTGGCAGGCACTACACGGGTAACAGGCGGGTCGCGGGGGGTAGTACATAGCCCATGTATCAGCAGCACATACCAAGCCCTCAGCATATAGGCGGTGGTGGATTCCCGAAAATTCGCAGTTATTTTGTATCGAAAACTAGGTTATTCCGCGATTTATTTGTCTATCGGTTGGTATTTATTGTCCCTGTTAACATTGGATATAAGTAATTCCCGTCTGATGGCTAATGGACAGTATCTGATTGTTGCGAAAATCTCGCCTTTTAGTAACTAAGGTATGTTTCACAAAGAAGCGAGAAGAATAATTCTTCCAGATGCAGCTTCGGTACCTAGAGTTTGTGTCCTTTGAAGTTGTTACACAGTCTTTTTTCCGGAATTCAAATGTCTGCTTCTCTTACAGTTACTATTTGATTTCTATTTTCAATATTTCAGTCACTTAAGGAGCATTACAGCAAACTTTAATAAAATGCCTGAACAACTTTTCTACTGGTTTTACCCAATTTGGAAATATTATAAAAACCGTTATCAGAAGTATAAGTTAGAGGCGGTTATCCTTAGTAACTTAACTCGTCGATGAATGCTGTTAATTTTTGTTCATTCATGATAGGGATGATGACTAATTTTTATATGTTTGTCCGTCCGATAGATTCTTGACGAATATTAAACACTTTTATTTTTATTTTTGCGCAATCGATAAATTACGGCGATACAGTTGAAATGCTGCATGACGTTACGCTTTTGTAAATTTTCTACAAAACTGTGATGTTGCTTTAACTTTAATAAACTTAACTTTTTATAATGTCTTTTTTTTATCCAGTCATCATCCCTATTTTGCCAGAATGCGCCTAGTATGCAAGCTCACCCCGCATTAGCAGTCTAAGTACCAGGTGCACATAGCTTGTTAGGAGTTAGGTGGGGTGACAAGCAAGATATCGACCGTCTTGAGGGCGGTGGCCAAGGACCGCATCTGCTATGCGGACACTAAATATCCGTTGACCCTTACACGTATAACCTACATATATGTACCTATGTTCACCTAGTATACATACGTTACTATTGCAATTTAGCTTGTAATTAATTACGGCTCAATGACAGATAAGGTGCAGTCGTGCGTGTGTACTGTGTCCACAACTCCACATATTCATTATGCCCATTACAATTCAAATATGACATTTAATAGTAACGTCATAAAGGCTTATTTATTGGTATAGTAAGTAACATTGGTATATTGCTTTGGTAAAGGTGAATTCTGATGGAGCGATCTATGGTTTCAGTGAAGGGTATAATGGTGTTATTCTGGTTACAAGCTACTAACGATTATATTCACCTTTTAAGGCAAACTTCGGTTAATTTTACTGTTTTTTAATGAGTAGGATTTAACCTTTATTTAACGTATTGACAGTCTTTGTTTTATTGTTAAAACGTAATACAATTGCAATACCAACACATATCGTTTGTTTAGTTAAAAAACATATTTTTTCTATTGAATTGCAACTAATTTCTTCAAAACTCGACAGGTAACAGATTATCGTGAAATGGATTTATTTGTGATAAAAATTGTCGATTTTCATCAATGGGTATTTTGATGGAGAGAGAGAAATGGTGAATAGACTATTTACTTCAACGTTGTCATAGAGTTTGAATTTCAATCAAATAAAAAACATTATTTGCCATTTGAAGTAACTTTTACACGACTGCCCAAAAAGAGTGTACTGGGTTTAGGGTTAATGTATGTATGCACACTACTTTTTCCACCATTACTTTTGAAAAACGTAATGAATGTGAATGTATGGGTATTATTAGAAACGTTACATCATCCCTAGTGACACTGGCATGTTTTAAAATTCAAAATGGCGGATGTATGACGCCATACAAAATGATATGAAAAAAAATATTTTCTTACAGCAATATGGGTGTTAAATTAAAGGTCTTGATCAATAAATTTTGTACATAACTAACTTTTAATCAAAAGGATTTTTAATAAAATCAAAGTAAATAATTACTGTCTCTAGTGCCGTGCTCGACCGCTGTATTCGACATTGATTTTTTAACAGAATAGTACAAACAGCACTTCGTACAGTCTTAGAATTCATAAATGTATTGTTATCAATAGATAATGTTGAACCAAACTCAGTTAGAAATAAAAAATGAGGTATTTAAATCAAGTTAAATCCTATATTATGTTGAATCGAATTACACATAGTATGCTCTAAAACTTTTAAGCCATAAAGTAATAGTGATTTTAAAAATTCCGACATAACATGATGAAAATGGCGCTAATAAACACAACAAACAAAGTCTTATTGTAGGAGCAAAGTTTAAAAGTTGCCGCGAACGACTCTTCATTCCGAAAATGTTGGCAATGAAATGAATTGATGGAGCACGCCGACCACTTGTTGAATCAAATCTTCGTGTGTTTTCCTTAGGCACTGAAAGGCTACGATAAATAATGCTTTATTTACATGTTTACTTTTGAATGAGATTTAGTATGTTGAAGCTGATATAATTATTTCGGTTACGAAGCGTTTTAATTTTTCAAAGCTTAAATTTCATTATCTAATTAGTATTATCGTATGTAGGATATGAATTACACTTTTGTCAATTAAATCGAGAAAAAACTAGGCAAAAACTAATTCTTAGTTATTTGTGTTGCGCCCTCTGGTATTTAAATGTGAAATAAAGTGAAATGTTAGTTTAATAAAAAATAATAGTTCAGTCTACATCCATCGGCTTAAATATGGAAAAATAAAATGAAAGAGGTTACATATTATGATAATTTTTGAGAACAACAATATTTTGTTCGCAAACCCTTTTTAATAATAATTATCACGTTAGTGGTTGTTTATAATATTATGCTTTTAATGACTCTATTAGTCCATAGGGTCGACATGCGCAGAGTGCGCGATTTCTATGGCTCATCTTCATAATTCACGCTACTAGTGGTCAAACAAATACTTGTTCATTAATTAATCGCGACTAAATAAATCGACCAAGATCCGTACCATATATATTAAAAAAATATTTTATTGTTGTTTTAGTGGCTTAATGTTGTGTGCGAGTACTTATTTATGTTCTGTATCAGATACTTGCGTCAATAGGGATTTTATGATAATGATTATGATATGATTTCAAATAATTGATAACTCCGTGGTTCTCAGCTTCTCATCTCAGCTTTGCTCCCACTAATTACGTTCATACAATAAATAAATAGTTCTTCCGTTGCAAAAATGCATGATAAGTAAGCAATGGTAAATACCAGGGTCTCATAGCAGCGATGGTGGTAACTGTATTTAGTGCCATGTCCATTTGAAACACTATCGATTTGCGCGATGCGGAGCATTGACCCGAACAGGGCTGCCGGCCGAATCGCTAATTTATTAATTATTTAAAACTAGCGATCATACGTTATGCTATCAGCCAGCGCGCGAGTGTTTTTGTCGCATCTATGCAAGTTTTGTTCTTCTAACATTAACTAAACTTCACTTCAATGTCTTCGAGAAAAGACTATCAATTATCACTAAAACCTAAGCTTAAAACAACAACTATTACAAAAACGCAAGGAAGACGCGTTAACGTCACATCCTCAATCTAATAAAACGGCTAATCTATTGATATCCCTGCTTAAATTTAGAAGAAAACACATTAAAATCTAATTCGTTTCTACATGTTACTACGATTAATACGTATGTTACTAAAACATCTAAAATGAAAAACTATGTTAAAAGAAGATTATGATATTTATTCACAAATATTGTCCATCTACCTAGTACAACAAAAATATCCTGTATCATAAACCCTGAAACATTTTATCGGTGTTATTATATACTTTAATTGATTTTCACCACACTGACCTACTCGTTTGTACTATCTACTCAAACTACAAACTATATAAATATGTTTTCTTTTGTTGCAGGATAATCTTACTCCAGAGCCAGCTGATATGAACGAAGACGACAATTTCTCCAGTAAGTATACGGCAAATCAGGTAATAAAGAAATAATACAATAGAGTGCAGCCACTTGCATCAAATCAATTAATTAAATTGGTTATTTTATGCAAACACTGAATTGCTATTTTAAAACGAACTGGCATAAAATACCACCCGATTGGTTTTGTTTTTTGAGAATGAGAAATTCCAAATTTAAAATTGATTGGCGAATGTGATCTGGTGCAGGTCAGGCCCTCGCGAAAGATGCCGAGAAGTTGAAAATGATGTTGCTTGCATGGAATTACCACAGCCAAACGCAAGGTAAATTACTTTTAATAAAAGTTGTCTAAAATATTTCTTTAAGTTGAAAGTTCTGCACAAGAAAAAGTATAATTAAAAGTGAAAAAAGCGGTCTGAATATACCCTTTAGCGAAATGTGTAAGCACTAGATTCTAATTTAGGCATCGGTGTACATAATTTGCACAGTAGCAGGAGGAGGCTCGCTGGCTATTTTTATAACATGAAGCCATATTGAGAGAACGCCTATGTATCAGGGGCGCAGACGACGGAGGCAACTCAAATTATTTATAGGTAGGGGCTTGTTCCAGTTGACATTTAAAGGCAGATGTACCGGTCCCTTGCGGGTGCAATCTACGCCTTCTTTAATTTATGCTGTCCCTGTAACTAGACATGCATGCTAACTTAAATTATATGATTTAAAATGTCCTGTCAGAAGCGAAAAAGGAATAAAAATTTAAGTAAAATTTGTCTAAAGTAGACATCAGCGTAATTGATTTAAAAATATAATACACAATTTAAATTAGCAGTTGATTATACCTCTATGGGCTGCTGTTATCAAATATTTATTGGAAATTACATATAGCGTGAATATAAAATAAAATAAGGAATAAAAAAAATTATTTATTTATCATTAATTTATGTAAAAAGCAGTTGCCCGATTTGCGAAAAGTCATAGGTTTGAGTTCCATCTCATTGTCAGGGACATAGTGGATTTTTAAGCATTTTTTATTAAAAAAAAATTTCAGTATAGCATTGTGAAGTCCAAAGTAATTTCTACTTCTTGGTTGGGTGAGAAATAATATTATAAAAATAGAATTATATCTATAACATTTATAAAGATTTATAATTTAATGCTTATGATGATATAATTGGTTGGGTTGTATAAGTCTTGTTATGTCTTAGGCTTACTGTTATTTTTATTGTGGGCAACTTATTGGCCGGATTTATTATAAATGTAATAATATCTTTTGTTTTAAATGTTGGAATTACTGTTGTTGTATCGATTTAATAAAATAAAATGAATGCAAAATTGATCAAATATAATAAAAAGAAAAATTATTTGTGAAATTATAATGTAAGCTACGAAATATTAACCTTTTAGAAAATGAAAAGGCACATTTTTATATACGGAATTTGAACAAAAATTCACCCAGTTCTTATAATATTTGAAAAAGGTTGTTGACATAGAAAAGGCTTTGCGGAAAAATGATTCAAAGTTTAAATAAAAAAGATCTGTTAAGCTTTTTTCATATATTTTTACACATCTTATTTTTGTTTCCAAAACACAATTCATTATTTTATTAGGCGATTTACCTGAAATCGGATGCCGTTGGATCTAATAACAATAATTTTCTGTTTACTCGATGGTCCAATGAGATTAACAAAATAATATATTTTTGTTTGACTTATTCTGTATTCTGAATAATCTTAGTTGATACTATTTTTTTCCTAATTCTAAGATTTTATATCCATGATTTATTTATTATTATAAAAATTATAAAATTACGTGCTCGATTGTTCCCTAGAACATGGGATCTTATTTAAAGAAATTTGCAATAAGTAATACTTAGAACTTCATAAATTAAGTAACTGACAGGATAGGTATTAAATTTTATATGCTTTTAAAATAGCTTTCTAATTTTTATATTTATTTAATTTTGTCGCCCTGGTTCTTACAGGCCGCAATGGTGATATAACAGAGAGTGGCCCAGACAGTATGGCGGATCTATGGGCCTCCTATCACAGCGCGTTGGGCCTCGGCAGTAAACCACCTAAACCACCTACTCCCCTGGCAACCGGACACTCGGTGAGTTTTAAGGTTGAACAGCGTTTCATGTATATTTTTGATAATTAAATTAACAGTATTTTTTTAGCACAAGGGGCTAAAGTGATCCATATCTACAGAACTTCAATAGTAGTTTCTTGAATAAGTCGCTTTTAAGATAAATATTATTTATCACTATTTAAAACTTTGAAGTAATTTTTTGAAAAAAGGAATTTGTATTTTATTAAATTTTTATTTTTTGAAAAAAGTTTTTTATGTGATATTTTTTTTATATAAACATGCCATCTATGTATTGAGTGATATCTCATGAAAAGCATATTTTGTTTTGTTTTAAAAGGAAACTACTGATCCGATTTAAATAAAATTTAAAATGGAGCCACGAAAACGAAAAGGAGCTTTTCGATATTTTCGACAGCGATGTATTTTTTTATGTATGTTCAGTGATTTCTTGGCTAATTTTCTATCGGCAGGAATTTCTGTAGACAGATTGTCTATGGGCTTGAAAGTCAAAGACACAATCTCTTTCATTAAGAGATCTTTCTCTCGAAATACTATTTTAACCCCACCTCGATACTCTATAATGACGGATATTTTGAGCAAGAAAAGAAAAACTTATAATTCATCATTATATTAACTGGGAAACATAGACTGCACCTACCAATTGAGGTTAAAAATAAAGTAAATGAATTACAATATTTTGTACATTGATCAGAATGTTAACGAAGATAGTATTTAGATTCGTCTTAAAGAATGTAGACGAAAATTTTATTTGAAACCATTAAGACGGCATTAGTATTAAACTCAAAAGCTTCTAGCAAATTTATCTGAACACCTCGACAATACAGTACACGATTGCAGAATTAAGCAATTCTCCAAATGTTAGTTTCTGGATGAACGATCAAAAGTGTAGAATTCAAAGATTTTCCGAGTATGTTTAGTTTTACTGTCTTCAATATCCCGTAATATGACATGTCCTCATCTATTATTTTAAATTACTTATAAGTTAGTCAAATATTAAATAAAATCACATCCATTTCAGAGTCCGATTCATGTTGGCTCAGCTTCATCAGGAGTAGAACCCGCATCAACTCATGATGAGACGTCATCTTCTGATCGTACTAAGGATGATGACGACGGTGGCGCGTCTGATGATGACAGCGATGACAGAGTTGATCCGCAACATCACGACCCGGAACGACTGAAAGCTTTTAATGTGAGTTTTGTTATATTCGCAATCGGTCTAACGTCAGCACTAATACTTATCTTTGTTGGCGAAAAGGGATAATACCCCAAGATACCATTACAATGCTTTACATGGACAAATCTTTGCACGTTTTTATTGAAGATCAATATGATAAATACAATACTTTTTTATCTTACCAATTTTAAATACATATGGATATGTAGTTAAGATTTAAAAACAACCAAACAGGCTGGTTCTGGGATAGCATGATGGTTCTTGAAACATTTGAGAATAGGTTTATTAGTAACCACTATTAATTAATTAAATTGATAAAATTGTATTCCAGATGTTTGTACGGCTCTTCGTAGATGAAAACCTAGACAGGATAGTGCCTATATCCAAACAGCCTAAAGAGAAGATCCAAGCTATCATAGACTCTTGCACGAGACAGTTTCCGGAGTTTGCGGAACGTGCTCGCAAAAGAATTAGGACGTATCTGAAAAGTTGCAGAAGGAACAAGAAGGTTCGGGGTGACGGGCCGACTACCGGCAACGGAAGCAGTGCGCCGGGTACTGGCAATGCGTGGGATTCAGCGGTGAGGGTCCGATCTCTGCTTGATTTGCTTGCCTAGTATCTACCCAAAGAGGATTAATAAACGAAAAAAAGTGAAAAATAAAATACGATGTTTATAGACTATAATCGCATTCTTTTTATAAAACTTCCTAAATTTGAAATACATCTTGAAATGGTGAAAGAAAAATATTACCTGGATTAGGTATTTAGGCTTAAATTTTAATTACAGAATATGCGAAAATAAGCATCAAGCAAAATAAAAAGAAATCTTTTCTCCTGTGATATTACTGATTTGATGGTATCGCATACTTGTTGATCTGTTTTTAAGAATCTATAAATATACTAGCTGACCCGACAGACTTCGTCCTGTCAAAAAGATTTGTAATGTGGCAGTTTTTTTCAAATATAAATTATTTTTTCACTAATCACGAACTAAACAAACACTAACTAAGTAAACACTCTGCACAAAACACGATATACGAATTTGTTTCGTGTATCAGTTGACAAAAGCAAACTCAGTAGATTAGGTCACAGACAACTTTTTTTTTTTTAAATTTGATATGACTTGAAGTCAAATCCTTTTAAGCCGTACGAATTGTTTTATTGATTTAAAATTTGGATATTAAAAATAATAAAACACTGTTGGTAACGCGATTTTTGTTTGACTGATGTAATGACGTGGAAACTGATGCATTTTATCTCGCGTGCCGAAACTAATACAAAAGAAACGCGAGTTTCGGAACGCGACATTAAACTCCTCCAACTATGTATTCTGTGCTCCAACGCACACACGCACATTGTTTTGATAGATATGATCCTTGACGTTAGGAACACACCTACATTGCTTAGACAACAGTGAGTGCTTGTAATTTAATATGAACTTTATACCATAGCAATAAAGCTCAAATTGACTACGTTTTAGTTACAAATCCTTTGTATGGGAAAAAGAAAAGGGCTATTTTTAGGGGTTTTCCAGCAATAATTCTAATTTTTCTCGCCGTAAAAACCATCCTTGAACTTCAACGAACATTTTAAAAAAAGATTTGGCCAAATTGGTCGAGGCGTTGTTGAGTTATGCGCTTACCAACACATTTTGCGATTCATTTTTATATATATATATATAGATTACGACTGAGTGACCCGATACTACGGCGGAGTTTCCGTCTGAACTTGGTTTGCTAAGAATATACCATATATTTTATAAAAAAACTATGCAATACCGTTTTTGTATTGATTTTAATTGATGATCAAATGATGAAATATTCTGTTAAAAATAGCCTTGGCAATCTTCATAAACGCGGCGCTATCACGTAATGAAGCTTCAATGAAATAACATTTTTATTACCTTTTGAAGTAGGTTTTATTTGATTGAACTTGAACCTCTACGACCACGATGATATAGTGCACTATTTGACGACGAGTTTGAGGCTATTTTTGTAACAGAAACAAGCACTACAGGTAGACTTCAAAGAGAATTTAAGCGATGCTGCAATTTTGATATGTGGTAGGAAGTTACACTTGTACTATGAAAATAGCAACTAGTAGGTACTTCGGGCCTAACCATGACCTCTTATAGCAAAGCTTAATCCGTAAAGCAAAGCTTAAAGTTACCGAGCAGGACACAGCTATCTTCTTTATATAGCGCGGTCCCGCTCGCTGCATGGATTAAACATTGCCATAAGAGGCAATGGTAAATCCCCTGTGTTTTGAAAAAAATAGATTAGTTTAAGAGCACGTGACATAACCTTATCCGCTGTCCAACAGGTGCGGCCGACGCCGGCACACCTGACATCTGTACAAGCGGAACATATCCTCGCGCAGGCGTGCGAGAACGAGAGTCTCAACGCTAAGCGTATGCGACTTGGTTTGGACCCTGTTAGTCAGCCAATGCCCACTGTACCTACACCCATGGTAATAATTGTTATTATTATGTTGTATATTTTTATAAATAGTTACATCTGGTCCTCAATCAAATGATCATCATCATCGTCTTATTAATCTCCTCACTTCTGTGGCATAGGCCTTCCCTATATATGGAATCTAATAGAATCGAACAGGGAGAATGGTGGGTCGTAGTGATATGGTTGCCAAACGTTCTCAGTCAATTTTCATAGATAGGTCTGTTGTGGCACAGGCTATAGACACAACGGCGCCGTCAGTCGTGGGCAGCTCGTTCCTGGGCCTGTACAGCGGCGCCATCAGCAGCCCAGCGGCCGCCAGCCCCGCGCCCGCCCCCGCCCCCGCGCACAAGGCCGACAACGCGCGTCCCGCCCCGCCCGCACCCAGCCCCGACGCGCACGCGCACCTCAACAACAATACGCTCAAGCTCGACAACGCCAACGGCACTGCCGGCAGCAAGACCGCCAGGTGACACATGTTACTTGTGTTGACTTAAGTACTGTCTGTTAAATTAAAGCGGCAGGGGAGTATTGGCAGGCAGACAGTGGCGTCATAAAACTGAGATACAATAAAGTCGCTTTCCGCTGTCTGTACGCTAAGATCTTTTAAATACACATAACGGATTTTAATCCGGTTTTCGTCAATGTATAGAGTGATTCAAGAGGGTTTATGTATAATACAAGATTACGCGGGCGAAGCTGGTGGTGGAAAGCTGTTAAGGCTATTGTCATAGTTAATATTTTTATGAAAACTCACGTGATATATTAAGTAAAATTAAGTAGATATTACATGTTGGGAAAGTATTCAATGCTTAATTTTTATTTTTGTAATGAATTCTTAATTGGTTGGAAGTTATGAGGTGATCAGAATCACATTTGACCGTTTTTGGTGTCTACCTAGTACAAACACGATTTGATATCGAATCCAGCACAATAATTGTAAAGATGACTGACTACATCCGTGCCGTAAATTAGTCTCAGTAAAATTTCAAGTGGGTACACGACTGAATCTAGGTATTTTTGCTAACTACTAAAAATAATAAGACTATTTAATACTAATAAGTGATGTTTCACCCTCTCTGCTAATATTGTTTTGTCATAATAACGCGAAAATCCCCATTACTTTTCAGCCCGGCATCGTCTCCTGCTCCTCTGTTTCGGCCTTCATTTCCGAGCACATTTGGAACACCGCAGCCATTTGGAAGGCAAAAGTGAGTTACAAGGCAATAAAATAACATTTACCGATGGTTATGGTTAAAGAATTAACTAAATTGCTATATTTTTTCAGTACTAGCTCAAATTCGGCGTCGGCTCTATCAAGTAGCGCATTACTATCGACACTGACATCATTGCCGCCAACAGGTGAGTTATATCGGTAATACATGTAAACAACAATCGGTTGAACGTTTCCTATGTAATATAATATATAACACTGAAGATGTTGATTATTTTTGCAAAATATTCCTCAATCACGCTGTAATGTTACATGTTGATATTGTATACGTGTTATTTACTATAGTTTTATGTCTTCATTATCTTTGATATCGTTTTTCATGAATCCACTTGGTATCATTATATTTGATAATTTCAATTTCATACGTTAATACTTCGTCATTTATATATTTTTAAACGTTTAAGGTGTTGGTGTGAATGCAGCAATGGCTGCGTACCAAAGTGCGTTATTGTCAGCTATGGCGGCACATACGCATACATTCCCAACCAGCCTATCTGGTAAATACCATAGTATATAAGTTAATATTACTGTATAGTATTTGTAGTTTTAATAGTTTTTTTTTTATCTTATCTTTGTTAATTTTATTAAATCACATTATTTCACAGCACCAACAGATCTGTCATTGAAGAATACACCACCGACTCCGACATCACTTCATGCTACTTCCACTGTATCTTCTCTCGCTGGCTCTGGAAGTACAGCCTCATCCACCACAAAAACTCCTTTGTTATCTCACAAGCTATCAGGTGCAGAAGTTGGAGCGGTCAGACAACTCATTACTGGATATCGTGAGTCGGCTGCATTCCTTCTTCGCTCAGCTGATGAGTTAGAAGCCCTTCTTTTAAATCAACCCTAGGATTCAACCAAATCCAACTTATCAGATATGCTCGGATTCAAGTTTGGATACTTCTAAATTGTGGACTTGTTTTTAATAGTGCACGCCAACCGGATCTATGTGTGCGCAGAAAGTTGAACTTTGGAATTATTAAAAATGTTAAGTGTGGTGGACATAAATTTTAATGTATTTGGATGATATTCTAATTATGAGTGATATACAAAAGCATCAAGGCAGGATGTTTTATACTGCTTTATATAAAAATTCCGTAATATGCTCGAAAAAGTTAAACAATTTATTGTTTCATGCAATTATGATTAAGACAAAACTTAGCAAAATAAGGGTCTCTTATGAAAAGATGCCAATTCAATGTTACGTTAGTTTAATGTTCTTTTAGAAGTACAAATAAACATTTCTTAATTTTTCATTGCAAAAGTTTCATCAATACACTTTGCTTGTTGTTCTAATAATGCGATACTGTAGAGTTAAATATCACATTTTATAGTTATTGTGTCTTTATTTTTTAACAAATAAATTAACTATAAACTGGGAACACTTCACTCGTGTATCTAGATGTATGGTGCTTGTTTCTTCACAGCTTAGTGTTGCCAATTTGTAGATTTCTATTTAAAAAGATCCTTGTCCAGCTTTAGAAAATAGGTAATTACGAGTTATATTTTCTCTACTCGTGAGTCCACTATGTCTATTTCGGCGAACGTACAAAGGTGTCATAATTAATTATTAATAAAAATACGTGTTGCCATTCAAAACTCGTTGGAAGAGTACAAAATTATTTTTGTGTATATTTAGATTTAAGGAAGAAAATCAGGGAGATTTTAGTGTTAGGTTGAAAATTCGATTTCTTGCCTGGTGCGAAAAAAATCTAGGTGATATTTATAAATGGATGTTTCATTGAAACGTGCTTTTGACAGCAGGTCATAGGTAAACCTATCTTCGCGTTTTAAAGTATTAAAATAAGAATTACACTGTTTCACTGTCACGTCAAAGAATCTAATATCCGATTCTTGTGTGGCGTTTTAGATTATAAGAAGCACGAATTTATTTGTTGTTTTGTACTATATTAATAGTGCTGTAGTTGTACTTACATGATTAATATATTTCTATTCTAATTTATTTCTTCTAAATCAAAATAAATATTTTTTCGCGTTTGTTTCCATCCAAATCAATATTTTGTCTACCTTCTGTACTTTATAAGCAATTAGATTATTTTTATATCTATATTTGGTTTTGCTCATTACAAGAGACGTTTCGTTGTTCTCGTGTATATCTATTTGTTACCATAGATTTTATGGCCAAGTACTATAGCTAGGTATAGTTAGTGTTACTGCTTTACGATGTACAAAATAAGATTAAATTCCCTGTAATAATTGAAACATTATTTTTAAAGTTTCTATTTGAGGCCTACGTTTCTATAAGCGAAATTTCAATAAATTTACCTCGTAATGTTACAATCACTGTTTAATTATGTTAAATAGTTAACTAGATTAGTTTGTTTTATATCTGGCCAGTGTTAGTCGATGTTTTCGATTTACGCAACTACTATAGTTTTCGATCGATAAGTTATAAAACAATATATTTAAATAGAAAATAAACAAAGGACATAAACGCTTAATTTGTTGCTTCTAATTTTATTGCTTCATTATTTTGAACCATTATGGATGAGTTCCATTTTTGACGACGTTTAAACACCGTCTTATAGAAAATCAGTCGGAATCGTAATGTGTTAATATTTTCGACCAATAATGGCGTATGTAGCTGTGCTATAATGGTACAATATTAATGAAGTCCGCAATTGTGACGTATGATAGTTTACTGTTTGCCATTTTCTCAATAGGGTATATGCTTCATGCCAGTTTTTAAAAATAAAATTGTAAATCCACTTTTGAATATGAAAATTGCCAAAGAGAAAAATTGATTTTATGTATGTAAGTACGTGGAATTGCTGATTTTATATTTTTTTTATGGATTCGTATGGGATTATTGTTTTACATAAGTTAAGATTAGTTTTATCTAAAAAAGTCATTCCAATATTTTTCTAAAGAACATCATCGGTGCGATAGGAAATGCAGTAGTCATTGTAAATGGAAAATATGTAAAAAGTATGTTTAGAATATTATAAAAAGTTGATTAGAAATATGTGAAAGTTGATGTTGGGTAAAACGAAAAAAAACGACAATGGTGGTAAAAACGTTGAGAAAATGAATTTGTTAGACATTAAAGTATATTATTATTATTAGAAATGTATAAATGGTTTACAATTATTATTATTATTAGTTTGAGATAATAACAAAAATGGAGTAAAAAATAAAGAAAAACATAAAAGGCGATTGTTACTATTAACGATATGAGAATTTAGTTATAATTTTGCAATTTCAAAATGTGAGTTTTACAATTTTGAAAAAGAAAATATTAAATATGCTCATATACAGATTCTTAGTTTCATTTATATAAAATCTCTTAATATGAATAGGATAATAACATCCGTATTTGAAATCAAAGTGAAGCTACACTATCCTTTTTTTTTTTTTTGTTAACGCAGGGGAAATGCACCTTAAGCCTCAAACCAGGGCTCCTCTTCCACCCTGCAGTTTAATGTGGAAGCCCTACCTGGTAAAACCCGCTGCGGTTCACCTCACGCGAAATAAGGAGGAACCCGGTATCCTGCAAGGAGGGCCCGGTTTCCTCCGTTGGGCCCGGTTTCCTCCGTTAGGGCCCGGTTTCCTCAGTTGGGCCCGGTTTCCTCCGTTGGGCCCGGTTTCCTCCGTTAAGCTACACTATCCTGCCGGTTTACTCTTGAACGCAATCTTAATGTTAATTTAATCCAATAGGGATGATGACTAATTTTTGTTGTTTGTCCGTCAGGTAGAGTGTTAAAAAATATTAAACACGTATTTTTTTATTTTTTTCGTAATCATAAAATGACGGCGTTACATGGAGTTGAAATTTCGCATGACGTCACGTTAGGGTACGTTTTCTACTCAACTGTGACGTAGCGAGCCCCCACTCCTCAACTTTAATGCCTGTTATCTAAGCTATTTCTTGTTAAATTGAAGTAAAAAAAAATACGTATCTATTATTTTTCTATTATCTGACTGACGGACTAAATAGAATTGCATTTTTTTACCCAGTCATCATCCCTATTTTCATCAAATCTTAGCTTGTTCTCTTAAAACATAGTTACTTTATTCAATGACCGCGCAATATTGACCCATTAGGCGTTAGTGTTCGAAAACAAGTGCAGATGAAATATCTATAAGATGGAATACATTTAAACAAGACTCACGAACATAGTTTTTTCTCGTTTACAGAAAAAGAAAGTGTCTAGTCTAGTGAGTCCTAAATTATTGAATTCCGCCATTTAATCTATACTATTTCATTTAAAAAATTTATAGTAATGTATCGACGCGTATAGTGATTTTATCGACTATCGATAAGCAACCAAGTGTGGGCTGAGTGCTAGGAAATGCACGAAAAGGAATTAACTTCTGCAGAAAGCCTGTAAAAATATGAAAACATTTTAAAGTACACAAATAAAACATGGAACAATATATTGTACTCTATTTTTTGCTCTTCATTATTTTTTAAGGGTATAGCCATGATCATGGCATCCTCATTGTATATGTATGTTATTACATTTATCGCTTGATACCTATGGACACTATTTTAGTAACATCTTCGCATCTCAAGAAAGAAAAGAGGTTAACAAATATTGTACCCTATTTTACGACCGCATAATATCACCAGCAAGCAGCAGAAAATAATGTTTTAGTTCTATCGATATCAAGTCTCGGAACCTACATCCCTTATAAGCATGTCACAAAATTTATCTTATTCTTGTTATTAATTATTATAAATTACAAACTAGTAAAAATAACTAATATAGCAGTACTTTCATTCACCTTGTTAAATGGTGAAATAATTACAAAACCCCTTTGTCTCAAGTTCTTTTCGACATTTTTGTATGGGTTTGCTTACCGATGAAATTACACTTTGAGATTATTTTCCTTCAAAACACCGAATCCTTCAGAAAAACCCGGCACTGTACGCGCATTGTTTATGCCGAAAAGGTAATCAGTATAAAATCACGGGAAAAATCACTTTGCGTTAATATTTTAATCGAAAACTGTAGAACGGTCTGTTAACCAGCTGTGTAACAACAATAATGGCGTTTTTTGACTGGTGGCGCGCAGCGTTTTAAGACGTTCGTAAGTGCTATATCTCTTTGTCACATATAATTTTGTCATTGGGATTGTGGAGCAAAATATAGGTGAATTGTTCAACTGAAATGTTATCCCTCTATATAAATAATAAATTTATGAAATCAAGAGTACGAAAGGCCACATTTACAATGTCAATCGATAGCGATTGCGTTCAAAAGTAAGCAAGCAGGTCTAATTATCATCATCACCAGCCCTTTTACGTCCCCACTGCAGGGGCTCAGGCCTTCCTTATGGATGGTTAAGGAGGATGGGCCATGACCCTCCACGCTGGCCCAATGCGGATTGGAGGGTATTGACGACTGCAAATGCAGCCGGGACCAACGGCTTAACGTGCCTTCCGAAGCACGGAGTAGCTCGAGATAATAATTTTTTGGTCACCCATCCCGTGACCGACCCCTGCGAAAGTTGCTTAACGACTACGATTGCGGGCCGCTGCGCTTATCCACTACGCCACTGGTCTAATTATACAAAATTATAATTAGCTAAGTGAATCAAATTAGAACTTTTCTAAAACCTTAGTAAAAGTACCGCAACTACTACCGATTAGGGTAGCTTATAGTACATGGACAAAAAGACAAGTTGCTATTTATTTCACTTTATTAAATTACTGTTAGGTCATGTCCATATCAATAACAAGTGATTAACGAAATTTCCATATAATATGTTTAGTCGAGAAGTAAAGTTATGCATCACTATAACTTTTACCTATTTGGGTTGTCCGCTAAATTTAAATTGGTTAAGGAATTTTGTTATTCCCTTTATTACATTATATTATACAAAAGGAAAAGGTACGGGTGTAGATTGTGTTGTGGTGTATACGGTAGTGGGATATCTGTCTAAAAATGGATAGAATCTTTCGTCTGCCATCATGTAACGTGTTGCATTCGCAATAAAGTCCATATTAGTTTGCGAACCCAAATATGAAAACATGGCTGGAAATCTTTCTGTGCCGCATCTGAAATTAGAAAACAGAATATCACTTTTATAATAAACCATTTCACAATAATAAATAATGAGATAACATAAGTAATAATTAATCTTACTAATATTGTAAAGGTAAAATTTTTAAGTTTAGGGTATTTGTTACATCTTCATTCAAAGACTATTGAACGGTTTTTGATAAAATAAAAAAAAATTAAAATTTCTTAGCCAGTGGATAAATATAATTTTAAAATCTATAGCAATCTTCCAAAGATGTAGAGATTTACGAAAATCGCATTCAGAACGAATGATGATTTGTATCATCAAGAAACATTAATCTTCATCAAAACTTAAGCAAATCAGTTGCAATTGCAGATAGCATTCAACTCTTTGGTTAGAAATTTCTCAACGGCTTTCAAAGTAATATTTGCGTCTAACGCTTGCCTTAGACAATTCAAATTAACGTCAAATGGACGATTTCGTATATTCAATCTAAATAGCGCAATCATTGTCGCTTTCAACATCTTTCAAATGTCAAATTTCAGGGAAAACAGGGTTCGCGATAGTGTTTAAAATTAGATGATTAGAATTCTGGATTAACATATAGATTACTTTATATCTCAACAGTAAAGTTATGCTGGCGAAAAAAATATAGATTATGACGTTCAATACGCTATGTTTGCCCCCATCTATGTCATTTAGGGCGCATCCTAACAATGTGCGCACTGTCAGTTAGTTTACGTTATTATTAAATTTTGTACAGCCATTTCAGTTATGTATGCCTGGTACTTACAGTTTTCGGATTCCCCATGAAGCGAGGCCCCATAACACCCCGTCGCTCACCGCAGGAGCACCTGTGTCCCGCTGTAAATTATATAAAGCTCTCAATTAGCCATTAACTGGCATAATTGTGTATTCTATATCTGCTTTCGAATTGTTTTTTCATAAGACTCGTCGTTATAAATTAACGATAAATATTCAATACAGTATTTATCCTAAAGTGTTCTACAAACTTTCATTTTTCCATTATACTACTTGAAGTCCAATATTATTATAAACTAGCTGTTTTCTTGCCTCATGCGTAAATTATAGCCTATGTCAACCCCGTATGATGAAGCTCCCCGTAGGTGAAATAATTTTTAAAACCGATCCAGTAGTTTCGGAGCCTATTCGATGCAAAACAAACAAACAAACAACCAAACTTTCTTCTATAAAATATTTGTCTAGATCTGTCACGTGTGAGGATTATGCATGTCGTTGAGATTATACTGAGTTGCGATTAGCAGAATTGGACTGCAGAACTATTGAATGTTCTGTGCGTTCTATCTTAATATAAATAACAATACAGTATTGAATGTCGAGTGCATTTTTATCGAATCAAATGTCAGCCAAATCAAAGCTAATGTAGCTACACGATAGGTCCGATGGTATTCAAATGCCTCGCGATCATGAACATCTACAACATTTAAAGTTCGTAATTGAAAAATATTTTTGAAAACAAATTTTTCAATAAATACAGTTTATTTTTTTGTATTTTTTTCAGCGAATGTTTTCGTTTGTTACCTTTTTAACTCAATCAGTTGAGAATAATATAACTTAGCGTCCCTAGTGGACGAATCATATAATACTATTGTGAAAATCGAATGAATAATTTGTTCACTAATTAATAATGCATTTATTAAAGTAATATGCGTTGACGAGCTTCCATTCGTTTAAAAATATCTCTGTATTTGACATTTAGATGTCTAAAATATCAATAATTAATAGCAAATAAAAAGAATGATTCCACATTGTCCAAATAGATTAATTCACAGCATGATTTGGAACGTAACTTAGGGATGGGGCTGCCATGGATTTTCTTAATTCACTTACGTGTTGCTACATAAATTATAAAATATCCACCAAATTATGTTCAAATCAGAAAATAACCCATTGGCGGCGCCTAAATATAAAAAAACAATGATCATGTGTCAGGTTTATTGACCCTCTATCGATTTATATATACTTTATGCTTGGTTAGAGATAATTTGAATATAGTAGTAACCTCCAAACAAAAAAAGTTCTCCTTTAAAATTGGTTACCCACTAATATATGTATGGTCAGTATGTATTTTAGTTTTTTTTTTTGTAAACTTGTTTATTCAGATGTACTTATTTTCACATATATTACATATTTATCACGGCGTTTTCTAATCCGCGAAACGGTGAGTTGGTGAGTCGCTTCGCGATACTGAACCAGTCCCCGGGTAGCGGAGATGAGAGAAAGTGGTAGAGGATAGCTCTAGGACAGCAAGAACATAAAAAAAGTAGGAAGAAGAAAGGGGACAGCGGTGAAAAGAGAGAGAAAAGAAGTTAACCACTGAAGTTCTATAGACACATAATATATACGATATATTACCAGTTATATATAAGCTTGTAAAAAGATGGACTGTTCAAAAGACATTAATAAAGGAATACCTTTATTGTAATGATACGGCGTAGAAAGTTAAGCCTATTAAAGCTTTTTTAATAATGTGGTCATTATAACTAGTGGTATAAAGTTCAATTTTGTTACGACTTACTGTGCAGGGTGCCCGTCTACCGGTCTGTGCTATACAGATGAAGTTTTCTGTGACGCTGATGCCAAACCGTTGGGTCACGTTGTTACAATCATTCCTATTCATAAACCTTGCATGAAATACCTGAAGAGTCATAGACTTCTTATCGACGACGCCATCCCTCTAAGAGCGTGGAAAATATATATCTTTAAAAAGAATTGTTAATTTAATATCCATAAAAAATAATAAATAAGGTATTCGCTTGCATCGTGACAGGTCTGTTTTGAATTTATGGTATTGGCAGCCAAAAGAAAGTTTTGTCTACATCTAAATGTCGCTTTTCACGGGTGCGCCCATACGACATCTCACTCTCGACCCATTTCTCCGATTTATCATGCTACTCGTGTTGAAATTTTCAACTAAATGGAAAGTGAGGTGAGTAAAATACTGGCTAGTAGTTTAATTGTAATAAAATAAGCCAAGTATATAGTCGAACACGTTGATAAGATCACCCTGTAAAGAAGTCGTTATAATTATTTTGTTTCTTTTCTTACCCTCTCTGAACCCCAGCTAGTGACCCAGGCGTCTTCGAAGGGCGGCATCATGATCCGATTGGGCAAATCCACGCCATGAACTCTATCAGAGAATCTATGGGCACAGTCATTATAATACAGAGAGATGGTTTTTCGCTTATATTATTTAATAATTAAAAAGAAATATCTTTCATATTTGTTAGCTTTTAATAACTTATTCCTGGCTGGAGAGGGAGCTTCTCTTCTCGTCAAGCTTTTAACCCGGTCCGAAAACGTGTTTTTGAAATGCTAAGATAGCTTTAAAGAAACGTAGAAGCACATATAAATAGTGATAGATATTTTTTTAATAAAATTATAAGAATGATTCGACATTCTTCAAATATCTTTTGTGGACAATCAGGGTTCCTGGGGAGATGATATGGATAATTTAAAAAACTGCAAAAGCGGGGCGTTCAGCAGTAAATTTTCTCTTCTACTAAAGCTGAATAATATTCAGGAGTCTGAATTTGATCATAATTTTGGCAGGCGGCTAACGATATTTTAAAATCTAACCTTTTATGTAACTAAGAATGTATTCTTATTCAGTTTTCATAATAATTTCTCAAAAGCCTTGTTTTGTCTAGAATAGCGGTGCAATTTTGTAGGTGTAATAAATAATAAAAGGTCAAATTTAATAAAAAGAACAATGACCGTCTTTACGTGTAACATGCAGTACAGATATTTGAAGTTGAACTCCTTGTTTGAACGTTTAAAAAAATCTGGATAATTTTTTAAATCGAGAACACCAGAGGCTGTATGTAGATTTAAAATTTAAAAAAATATCATACAAGATTCTCTATTTTTTAAAAACAATAATGACAGATGTATCAAGACGGGAATTCAAGTTTCACATCACCCTTATGTAGAAGTAAGTTACTATTTAAGACACAAGTTACTTGTAATATTCATATTACAAGCTTTTTAAGGTTGTGGTGAAATTTTTTTTAACTAAAAGGTATATATGGGTAATCCAAATAAAAATGTGATTTAAAGAATGAATTTTTCAAAACTTTTTTTTCGACATTGAAAACTCACAGTTCCACTCGTTTAAGTTTTATAAATATCTGCACGTTTATGAAATTGTAAAATATATTTGTACTCACTTAATCCTTTCATCCAACAGCAGGAGTGCGACGTCGTTGTCCGGGTTCTTCCTAATACTCCAGTTGGGGTGTTTCATTACCTCTTGTATTCCCACCACTATTCCACCACGGTCCGTATGTCTTGAGCCAACGCGTACACGTAGCCTACTTACCCGGTTTGATCTAAAATATTTTGGTGTGCTTGATATTTTTCAGTATAAAGATCATCATCAGTGCCGAGGCGCAGATCTTCTCTATGGATGGGATCAAATCCAAGCGAATAGGGAGAATGAGCTATGACCCATTACCTACCTTTAATTTTATTTCTCAGTCATCATCATCATCATCATCACCAGCCCTTTTATGTCCCCACTGCAGGGGCTCAGGCCTTCCTTATGGATGGTTAAGGAGGATGAGCCATGACCCTCCACGGTGGCCCAATGCGGATTGGAGGATATTAACGACTGCAAATGCAGCCGGGACCAACGGCTTAACGTGCCTTCCGAAGCACGGAGTAGCTCGAGATAATAATTTTTGTTCACCCATCTCGTGACCGACCCTTGCGAAAGTTGCTTAACGACTACGATCGCGGGCCGCGGCGTTTATCCACTACGCCACCGAGCCACCCTATTATTTCTCAGTATTCAACATTATATATTTTACTGCTATTAGCACTTTAGACTTTACTTTTACTTACTTCCACACACAGTTAGCCGTTGTTATCACCATGACAGGGTTTAGAAGTGCTCCTGCGCACCAATGCTCTTTATTCTTCTGAATCGATACAACGTATGGGTAGTCTTCAATCATGGCGTCCCGTGCCGCTATCAATCTTCTGCCAGCCTTTGCTAGGAAAAAGGGGACGGGGATAAATAAAAATTTAATTGAACTTTTCCAAATCTTTATTCAAGAAAACAAACCTCTTAGAGGGACATGTTTTATTTTGGAGCGGGCGCGACTATCAACTCCCCTTTCATTGTCTCTTAGCCCGCGATTGTTTAGCCTGGTTTGCTTGATTGATTTACTATTATTCTTAGAACCCTTCATCTTACCGGTAACTAGCGCTTGTTTTGCTTTCACTGTGTTTGTAGAACCGCTTAAGTTCTTTTTGATGAACTTTCCGGAGTGTGACTTTTTAAGACTAGTTTGATTAGATCGATGCTTAAGTCGATTCGGACTTAATGTTTGTCTTGCTATAACCGTATATACAGAACCATTAGCGTGATATTTGATAATGGACAACTCTTTGTATGTTTTTTCTTTAGCTTTAACCCTTTGTCTTCTCTTAGTTAGTTTTTCTTTTCTGTTCAATGTATTGTCTTTTTTATTACTCTCTTTATGTGTTTTTAATTTATTCTCTTTAGCTTCTTTGTTTGTTTTCGATTTAACCTCTTTACCGTCTTTATGTGTTTTCAATTTAGAACTATCAGCAGATCGTTTTCTTCTGATCGCAGATATGATATAATCGGGAAGATCTTTTTTTACTCTTGTTTTTTGCGGCTCGTATGGATCCACGGATGGGAAATAAAGGCTAGACGGTACGTGATAAAGTTTCTTTTCTATCGACGTCGGGATAGTCGGGAAGACTGTGTAGCCATCGAATTTCGGTTTCTTCGTTTTTATCGGTGTAGGCTTTCCGTTAAGGATCCTTCTCGATAACAGTATTTTCATATTCTTCTTTGGTAAGATAGGTTTCTTGGGGTTCATCAAATTCTTAGATTCAGATAGGCTAAACGCATCGTTGAAATGTAAAGCCAATATAAAAATTGGTATAGCCTTCATGCTTTACGACGCAAGTAACGGGAACATCGAGTGAGACTATAAAATAGTTTTTATGTATTTTTATGATGGTTCTCGTTCAATTGAGCGATAAATTTCAATTTTGGTAGAGAAAATGTTCGTTCGAGATTGATTGAAATTTTGCAACTTTCAGTCTACAAAGGCTGCAACTATTGGCTTTAAAGAAAATTATAAAAATTGACAGTTATAAATAAATTTTACCTGAATTAAATGTTTTAACCTAAATGTAAGATAAGAGATTTATAAATATGCTGGATATTTTATAGATTGATGATTTTCACAAAACAGATTAGAAACTTTGATTACACACAATAACAAGACATTTTTTTACAGAATATAAAAATGTGTTCATGTGGAAGACCTTAAAAAAGGTTTTCATTTAATGAGTTAAAAAAACGTTAATGTCTTATTGTTTACTCTTTTATTTTAATTTCTGCATAACGATATAAAAATTATGAAAATTTGTTCTTAAAAATTAATCTTTAGGCGCTTTTCTTATAAGTGGCCAGCTGTACCGCTAGCTGGTGAAGAATAACTTTAGCCGAAGGAGCTTCTTCAGTTGGTTGGGCCCGGGAGAGACGGACGACTCTACCACATTCTCTGACGAAGTACTCGAGTTCGTTCTCTATTTGACTACCATCACCTGGTACCAACAAAAGTTTTCATTAGGATAGCAATATAAAAAGCCGATCCGCGAACCTCTGTCCAGAACTACCCGTGAATTGCACGCGTTTCACAAATTATAATTAATGAAAACATAGAATTTAAAAAGCGTGATTATAATTCACGGTGAATGCGCTTACTTTTTCTGCTACCCATGACTTTATGACTTTTATTACAGCTTTTTTAGTTTTGAATAGGTTTTGATCTTATATGCATCTAGGAAGGACAAGATATCTGAACTGAATCAATCGAGTTGAAGTTCTAACCTTGGCCCATTTTAGTAGCGTTTGGCTGCAGACATTTGTTTGCGAGGCGAGCTAACTGTGACTTCTCTGAGCTGAACGCTTCGTCTAAATCGAATAACTCCAATGGAGGAGGAGGAGGCTCTCGGAATGTCGGAGGAAATACCTAGTAGAAATGTTAATAAAAATATAAATAAATTTGATCGGATTTATACGGATCGCTGTAATTTTTGCACCAAAATAATTAAGTTATTTTATTATAGTCGAGAGTCAAATGAATTTGTAAAATATAGAATATATATTTCTATACGATAACAAAACTCGTTACTTGCGCATTTAAATAATTAAATATTAAGGCACCAATCTATTGCTTTAAATTCTTTATTGAAAGATTAGGAGAAAATTAAGAAAAAGCTTACAGCTAACTGTAATGGAGGAAACGGAGTTTCGAACTGCGGCGCGATTAGACGTAGCGGCTCATGTTTGATTCCCAGTGCTTCATACAATCCTAGTACTTCAGGCACTGAAAAAATACCATTAAACGATTTTTAGAATATTAAAGAAAAATATATAACCATCTCAGGTAGACAATTGGTAATTAACCATTCATTCCTTCGGATTAATTTACATAGGCAACGTGATTTCTTCTATCATCACCTTCATCAATCACTACACTCTTCACACCTCATCAATATTTATTATTTGAACTAATAGCTTCTTATTATAATACTTAATTCGAAAGTTGATCAAGCAGCAGCACCGCTGTAGCTTTCGCAGTAATTTGTAATCTGACTAAATTGGCACTTGGCAAAACTAAAGCATAGGCAAATATATTATTTTACCTTTAACGGTTTTTAAATTGTTGCATTATGGATAATCTAATACAGTAAAAGCCGTGATATGTCAATGTTCACTTCAGCGTCACTCTTTAAATGGCTTAAATCGGGTCATCTGCCCTATCTAAGTTTTATTTGTAAGAATACTCGCATTGTGCCAGGTTTAGTGAGAACAGTCTCCAAGTGAAGAGCGCGTGTGGGTGTAAGGGTGTGAGACGCGGGGGAGGTGCGGTGGCAGGCACAGGCAGAGGCACTGTGCTTAGCCACAGTACATCACCCAAGGTGCGGTACTCGTTCACCTGGTGACAGATAAATTATTGATTGCCGTTCAATGCCGGATGGGTCTAAATTTTCGCTATTTAATCTCACGGCTAAACGTTAATCAGCTGAGTAGCTAACTAGTTATACAAATGGGACGGGATATGACGTGACAACAGAACGTAAGACAACCTAGGGTTTATTGACGCTACTTTATATACAAACCGTGACTAGCACAAATAGGCGGCGGTGTGGGAGAAATATTATAAATGAATGTTTCGGCGGATTTTATATATCCATCATCATGTTGAACGTTTTTAATGTTATAATGATTTAACTAGAAGCCTAGTCATGCAATAAATGGTGCCATTCAATTTAAGGACTAGACGTCCGATGTATGGTTGTTTTAAACAGTTGGCTGCTACATATAAATACAATCCCAATCTTAACATTTTAATTATTTTTTTAACGATGGGATATGCGTTACGCATACCCTGCTTCCCAAAAGGTTATGTGAAATTTTGAAATTTCCATAATACTTACAACTGATTTAAGAGCTAGTTAACTAGGATTTGAGCAATGTATGCGATATTATTTTATGTTTAAATACTTTTAGACATGGATCGCAAAACGGAATAAATGATTCAGAAACATGGCTTACGTCAGGGTCCTCTACATCCACTGGGTTGAGGTGCAAGTCCGTGATACCACCCAAATGGTTGAAGATCAACTCCCTGATGAGATCGTTACATTCGCTCTCCAGGTATTGATCAGCGAAGAAATGACCAGAGCCAATCACAAACAGTTTTCCTGTTAGTACATAATATCGTAGTTTTACAGTTCCAGAACTATCTATCTATACTAATACATATTATAAAAAGTTGTTAATATTAAATTTTAAAATATATTAAATAAATTAAATAAATAAATTTTAACACTACTTTGGGATGAACGGCAGTATGTGGATGTTTCTGCAATTTTTGCTGTTATTTAATACATTTTATTTAATACATTTCAAAGAATGCGATGATATAACTCGAAGGCTAAAGCAATCGGTCTATGATTGCGGACGTTATTAGGAAAACTGGTGAAATAGTTACAGAATTATCAGCCTATTAATTTCCTCCTTGCTGGAACACAGGCCCTCCACTCCATATGGATGGAATAAAAGGGAAAATGAGCATCAGCCTACCACGAGGGTTCACTGCCCTGACTATCACAAGACCACCTATCATAGGCCCAGTGTAGATAAAACGACTGCAGATGCAACTAGTACCAATAGCTTAACGTATCTTCGGAAGCATGGAGGAACTTGATCACTGGATAAGTTACCAAAATGAGTTATCTCAACCTTCAAGTTCCAGCAGGGAACATTAAGTTAATGATGATGAAATTTACCTCCGGTTTTTTCTGATGAGTACATAGCAGCAACGGGTCTCTTAACAGGATAACATACGTCACTAGTAGACAATATGGCGGCCGCTGGCTTCTTTACAGTCAGTGTAGCGCCGTACGGATACACAAAGTTTGGTGTTGCGGGTTCCTCACTGCAGGGATTGTATCTTTATTCATCATTATTATAATGTTAGATATTTACAAGTTGGAGATTTTTTAATTTTGGAAGATAGAGAAACATGAGGATAATGAATGACTGTTGTGCTATAGATGACAATCTGATCATTAGATCATGACAGGCCACTGTAAATGTCGATTGTCGTTACTACCACAGAATATACAGCAAAGATGTAGTTACTCTTAAAAGCTGATAAATTTTTTATAACCATTTTTCGTGTCTACCAAAAGTCATTCTAAATGTGTGGTAGGTAAAAAATATTGGACGCTTAAGAAGTTTTTTCAATTACCTTATTTGAATATAGCCTAAAGATTATGATTATGAATAAATTGTATATATACATATTATGTATCTTGATACTCGAGATTCGGAGTGAAATTGCTTTACTTCTAGTTGATTATCAAAAAATATTAAAGTGATTTGTTGTAGGTATTAATTATACTTTAACAAAACCCAAATATTTGTCATTTTTCTCAATAAAGACTGAAGCGGCGGGCGGCGGTCAGCGGTAAAAGGTTTTTCAAATAAATTTGCCAATCGCTGTTGCAATAAATTTTTGAAGTGAGTTTTTATTTGTTTTTACATAATATTAGCGAGAAAATCAGACACATTATAATCGTAAGTCATAAAAGTTTTAAAGTCCTATTTATAAAGTAAAAATTTCAAGTTAAAGTTACTTGCAGGTAGTCATCAGATTCACTGGTGTAGTTTGGCATCTTCATGATATTCTTTAAGACGGCTCTGTTCAGGATCCCGTTTGATATATGGCATTCTTTGGGATGGTAGAACTTGTGATATTTCGCTCGCACCACACAATCTACGGTACAGCAAAGCTGATTAAAATAATAAAATTTTATAATATAAAGATTCAGCCAACTCAGGAGTTCGAGAACTTAAAATCAATTACGATGATGATCTATCTTTTATTTGAAATATTCTGTTGTCTGTAATGAAATTGTGCTTTTATTATTATTATTGTAATTCTATTTCAACATCTAGAAGTCAAGTTCAATCTATTTCAGTCAGTTGCACGAACGCCCATTAATGTTTATTGACGACTGTAAGCTCTAATGAACTATTCTAAATTCACATACTTGTATGGGTAATGTAAACTAATTACAACTTTAATGGACGTTTGTGCAACAGACTGTTAGAAACTCTGAAATTATTAACTCCTGGAATAAAGATTAATGTAAATTTGGGTTAGGATTAAACTCCTTTTTTTTTAATAAATAATTATTTTGAATAATGGATAAAGAAGCGGTGCTATGATTTACATAGGTACAGAGTCGGCTAAATGAAACTTGGTGCCCTAGCTAAAACACTAGTCCTTGGCGCCCTAGGCAAAGCACTGGTACGTCCATAAATCACAACAAAATAAAAGACTACTATAGGGATTGTAATTTTGCCAATAGCAAAATAAACTTCTTAGAAACCGAAACCGCGGCCATGAATATTCAAAAACCAATAGTACATTTTTTAAGGGTCAAATAATAAGAACCAACCTAATGCCATGCCATGTCGCTCGCCCTAAATACGAGCATCCTAGGCAGTCTAAATAAATTTACTTTGGTTATGGTGTAACGGTAGTGATGTAAACGTAGATTTGATAGCATAAAATCTTACCGTTGTTAACAACAATACCGTACTCCTCCAAAAAGAAGTTGATATTAGTGTTCATTCTCTCTTCTCCACCATCTGTCATGATGACCAACACAGAGTCGCCCCTCTCTACGATGCTCTTCATGCTGGCTAGTTCGTCATCTGTGAATGCGTTCTGCGGTCCTGGTACCACGAGGATCTTTACGTCTTGCAATATATTTTCGGATAGCTCATCTCGGTTGCTGAAAATATTGACTTTATAACTATCGTAAGATAAAAAATGTCCCAGAGTCAAATACATTTCATCCAATTTGAATTCAAATTTGGGATTTAATGACTGAAATTATTAATCCTGTATTCGTGTTACTACGGAATTTCAACGGAAGAACATGTTGGATGTCCTGTATTCTACCAGTGAGAAGACGCTTCATAATCTGTATCAAGAGGGTGTATAGACCAAAGCACGAATAATATACCTATTACTTATCAAAAGTCAAAATACTTACCCAAATTATTATTAAAAACGAGAAAACTATGAATTTCTCAGTGACATGAAACTGGGAAAAAATATTCGTGGATGGATACAAAAATTGAAAAATAGCCGATTTGTTTCCATTTTCATAGCAATGCTGATAAATATGCGAAATTGCGATTCTCTTAGTAAAGATGTAGTCAACCAGACCAGACTTGGACAGTGTCCATGTCTAAGCCCTTCGATCTACGAAAGTGAAAGTAAATTTTTTCAAAGCATTGAAACCAAAAATTTAACATTAAGAGCTGTAAGAGACACGCTAAGCTGTTGGTCCTGACTGTTCAAACGGTTTATAGGTTAAAAATGTTGGACGTTTTAAAGATCATAAAGTCATAAAGTCTGGAGTCATTAACGGCTTTTCAATCCTCATTGGGCCTGCTTGGCAGATCTTGGCGCTTTCTGCCACAACCCATTTACATTAATCGGCAAGTCCAGCACGCGGAGTGCGGATGATTTCTGTGGACTTCTTTTATTGGTGTCGAAGAACCAAGATATAAAGCCTGCAATAGTCAACAAACATGAAGCAATAGTCCACACTCCGCATGCGGGCCCTTGTCGACCAATGTTTACGTGCCATGTTTGATTATAGTATTTAATCAGTGTCATATGCTATTCTATACCTAGGGGAGACCTGTACCCCAGCAGTGAGAATATAAATAGGCTGTGATGACGACGATGACGATTATTTGATAGTATTCGGATTAAAACATCAAATTATATGAACGAACTTACATCATAACTTTCCACGTAGTTTTCAGTTTGCGGTGTAACATCTTGTAGTTTTCATTTATTTTGAATAGCTCGTTCTTGGATATATCGAACAATATTGTGTTAACCGTCGCCTTCATTGTAGTTTATATATATTTCTCTAACTTTGAAAAATGTGACCAACACTACTTCTTCAACAAAAAATTTTATGTTGATGTTTTGTTACTTAGCAACCAGGGCTACTTTGACAACCATATGACAACAAACCTTCGTCTGAGCAACAAACATGCAACAAACAGCTGGGAGACCATCGCAATCTTTCATTCTTTTCATTTTATATGTAGAAATTAATTTATTTACTTGAAATTGGCAGAATTATGCGCAATTCACAGATAAGCCATTAATAAAAAAAAGAAAAACAAACGGTTGGGAAGGATTTAAACTAATAGTCGTTCGCTCCTTCATTAATTATGTCCACTTGCTAAGGTCTTAAATATAATCATGACCTAAATAAAATATTATTATTTGAAGATTTTGTTTTTCACAGATACTTACACCTCACATCTGTAGCAACTTTGAATGAAGTTGATTGATATATAATTAGAGACAGGTATAGATCATCGCTATCTTTCATTCATTTCATTTTCATTTTACATGTAAAAATTAATTAATTTACTTGACATCTGCCATTGTGCGAAATGCGCAGATAAGCCATTAATTAAAAAAGAAGAAGAAATATAATCAAATATAATAAAGCACAGCTTTATTATCCTGTATACAGTCAATAGCACGTCAGACTATACAAACCTGTCACTTCACTTGATTTTAAACCTTAATGGTGTGTGCGTAATTTTTGGATATTTGTTTGTTTGACGTTTTTTCTCTGTAGTAATTACTGTTAATTACTAATCACCTACATATAGGTAGATCACGAGCAAACACTTATATCGTAGGATTCCTATGCTAAAGATGAAAAATTAACAACTAGATAATAAACCAACATAAAAATCGGTTGAGAGCGGATTTAGACTAGCGCATAGACGGGTCCAGGAAATTACTAATATAAACTTTAAAAACCATAGAGGAAAAGCAATAGAAGTGGTTTTCCTCATTTTCCTTAATTTCATAGTTTTATTATATTATAATTTCTAATATGTATAATCTATAGGTATAGAAATTTCTGTATTTTTTCAAAATTCTAGCCCAGTAGACCAGCACGCGTAGCAAGACGAACTCGATAACGCTTTGTCTACACTCATTTGTCAGTTTCTCGGGTTGAGAGTGAGATATAGTATTGGCGCACCCGAGAAAAGTGACATTTGAGTGTAGAGAAAACGTTTTCGAGTTCGTCATGCTACGCGTGCTGTACAGGTGGATGGTCATATTTTTTATAGTACTTCTCAAATATATAGATTTACCTCCTAAAGAATATATAAGTGATTTGAAACATGAAAGCTTCTCCATGTTACAAATTCACTTGTATATTTATTCTTCGTATTTTTCACAGAAATAATCACATTAGACCAGTGCCACAATCAGCGAGTTCAATAATAATGAAAGAAAACAATAGATTGTCAAATAGTATAATTTTATTTACAGTTCGAATAATCATAACTTTTCGATTCGAAATTTGTATTCCTATTACGACTCAATAAGCTGCTCTCTACACTAGGCCTATCCGTATTTACAATTTCGTTACATAAGATATTAAAAACATTACAAATAATATTGCTATTTTCCATGAAAACGTTCACATATACATTTTTCATAGAAATACATTGACTATGCTTTGAATTAAACACTTGTTTTGTAATAGCTTCTTTTTTCATTATAATCTCCAAAATAAAAATATTCTCATATCGGACTATTCATACGTAATTAAATCAAAACATTATGATATGCTTGTACAGTCGAACCATTATATAAGTCGCATCGATGCATCTGCACAGTTCCTTTTTGATTTGTTGTGTTCGTTTGTTATTTGCTCGTTGGCAATGTGACACGACCTGTACTATAAATGTAAATCTTTCAATATATCTCTCTTCTGCGCAGACGGATTCTGTCGATGCCATAAAACGGATAGTACTGTAAATGTTAAATAGTACTGTAATGCTGTGTAATAACTAAAATGTTACAATTTTTTGTGAACTAATATATTTTTGTTTTTAATATAGACAATGAAATAAATAGAATTTTGTTAACACAGCCGGATTAAATTTTTTTAATGTTTATCCCCATAACAGGTATGTATTGATTAACCTAATAGACACAATTCATATGTATTTTGGTGTAAAACGGGAAGCTACATTCAAATAAAATTCTTGGATATAATTTTTAACCTTATGTAGTTTGCGATAAGATTGACAGGGGAAAAAATATTAAACATATTTAGTTTGTGCACGTCGATTGATAGTGGGAAATACTCTTATAAAAATGAAGATTTATTTTCTGTAATAATATACAGAGATATTTTTTTCTTTATGATTAGACCTTATTGTTTATTTGAACGGTATTTTTCCGATATTAAATATTAAAAAATATATATAATAAAAAATAAAATCAACTCTGAAAATCATCTATAAATACATTTTCCTAATTTACTTTGTACATAGAATATAAACTTACTAGTAGGAATGGACTTACAAAAACTCTGCATAGATATTTTCTACATTTTTTGTAATATTTACAAGAATTATGTGTAGGTTTCTTTTCCGATTTTGAGCTAACTTTGAGCTTTTAAACTAAATTGTATAGCTTTATATAGTTGGCTTAAAGTATGGCTCTAAAATTATTGATCACAAACATGTACTTAAAAGAGCCTTCTGGGATCATTTTGTAGATTTTCTAAAAATGCCCATATTGATTGCTTAATATCAATAAAATATAATTTCATATTTAATAAGAAATAAATTTCATGTTACAATTTTATACCAGTTGCAGAAAAATCATAGTTACTCTAATAAAGATATGTACCAGGCAAGCAGAAACTCATTAGAGTCGACTTGAAATATTTGCTATTTTGTAATTATAGTCTAAGTTTAAGCGTCAAATGTACCAAGGTAGCAGCAAATCATAAGAAGCCCATGTCGAGAGCGTTGTACAGCGCTGCGATGTCGGAATGACTGGATATCCGCCAGAATGGATAGTTTTTCGCTTTGGCCGCTGCCTCTTCGTCTTGACCGTCTCCGATGACGACGTAAGTGCATCTCTCGCCGAAACGTTGCTTTATTTTCTCGAAGCAAGTTTCTTTTCCTATTATAACAAGATTGTCTTTTATAGAATCAATACTTTGAAACTACTCTTAAATGTAAATTATTGTGGTAAGCAACAAATAAAGTGAAAAATAAATTATTAAATTAAAAATTGAAAAAAAGTTAATATCGAGATATTGGTCATGAGTAAAATAGTTAATAAGGGGATGGAAATATTATTCATATCATTATATGCATAATGACTTTTTTATGTTATTTTTAGTTAATTTTAATTTTAACATGGTATTGACAAAAACGTCATATTCTCTTCAAAAATAAGTTTTCAATATTTTTATGTTCACCTACCTGTTTTTGTAGCGGAATAGATGTTTTCAATGGGGAAAACGCCCCCTAGTCCGAATAATAAAACCTTAGCGAGAGCCGGTACTAGTTGCGTTGTTGTAACCAAAACATTAACACAGTTTTCCCTGTAAATAAATAATATTTATAATGAATATGAATAATTATGTTCTGTAAATATGACATAAAAAAATTGCCATAATAATAAAGGATCTGGGAAATGTCAGAAAATTTTAAAATCTCAAGAATAATCCGGGTCTTCGCAACTTTTCAGTATAAAATTAGAATAAGAATTATAAGTGCAATTCAAAAGTCAGTAAAATAAGCATTTATCAAACTGTTTTTAAATTGAAGTCCAAGCGATTTTAATGATGATTTTAGCCTAAGGCTACTTTCATATATCATAGGAGCTTTGATGATGCTATTGTAGCGCTTGTAAATAGCGCGGTTTTGATGTTTGTATATTTGACAGAGCGCTTCTACGTCCGAAAAAAAAAGGACTAAACGTGAATACGCTCTTAATATGTAATTGGTATGATTATTACTTATTTTAAAATAAAAGTTATTACAGTAAAATTTTGAAATCAGTATTTAGTCTTGAGTCTCTATCTAAAAGTCTAAAAATCGGTCCTTACAACAAATGAATGCGACGTTTTCAACTCGCAATATAAATGAATTTATAAACCGAAAAAATATTTAATAGGAAAGCTGGCCATTAAGTGACATATTTTTTTTTTATTGTTTGAGGAATCAGTTTTAGATACATTTAAGTACATATAGGTTAAAGGAACTGGGTAGAACCCTCATTTTTTTTTTACCAAATGATAGCTTACCGAGCATGGATCATGTTGAGGCACTTGCAAGCTAGTGTGAGCCAGTTGTCAGTGGCATGTTCTAACTCGGCGCGTAGTTGTAACCATTGTTCACGTTTCGCTGTACCAAGTAAACCACCAACGCTGTAATAATACATCAGATTCATGAATGTTGCTCTGCAACATTTTTGGTTATATTATTTAGCATTTGGCTTCATGAGTTTTAATAGTTTCAGTAGTTCTGAACTGTTCTCGTGGCTATGATACTAAGAAAATTTAGTAAATTTAAGGTTGAGATAGCAAAAATAATTGCATATATACCAAATAAGAGTTGGTTGAAAGTAACAGAAAAATTAAGAAGTAAGTACATGTGATGTGAAGAGACAATTCATATGTAACAAAATAAGGTTATGAATGAATCTCCAAATTAAATAATTGGTACAACAGTAAGCAAATGATGAATCAAATATATGGCAAGACATATCATTGACATTTTATTTAAGTTGGAAAATCAACCATCATTAAAATTGTTGCTTTACTATATATTTTATGAAACTCTACATTGATATTAAAAAATTATACAATAATTAATTAATTGTAAAACTCACCTATTCCTATAATTATTGTATGTATCCTTAATTTTTCTGTACCGGAAAGCTAGTTTTCGCATCCAGTCTACTCCGCCACGAACACCAGGAGCGCATAGGCCGGTGTTAGGTGCCGCGCCCGCGTGGAAACCGTCCGATGCAAAATTGTATGCGGACAGATCTTGACCATTGTCATCTGCCGCTACTGCGTCTATGTGCTCCTGGTCACAATCCTGCCGAAACATAGAGAATATGTTAAGGTTAGCGTTTGATCTGATGAGAGACTGCAGAGGTTCAACTTTCATATAAAGGACATTTAAAGAAACAAAAAGAAAATTATAATTTATTGCTATATTTTCCATAATACACACAGCCTCTGTTCTGCATGGGATTGATTTATAATTTCTGTACAATATGGCATTTAAGTATTAAAAAATAAGAAATGTGAACGAACCTCAACATCATTGAAGAAGAAATGTGTGTCAGCTAAGCTGAATATCATTTCCTCCATTCTGAATCCTAATTGTATTATCTGTTGTGTGTCCTGTTAATAAAAAAACTTATTAGTAGAAGTAAATATCATTTAATGATGGCAGTCTATACTAATATTATAAAGATGTAGTTTCTTTCTTTGTAGGTGGTAATGTTTGGAACTACTGATACTGCCCTGCGATTCTGTATAAATCCAAACCCGAATTAGAATTCACTCAGGTGTCTGAATTCACTTCAAAAAGCACAATCAGCACAATCTTGAATTGGTAATAACGTTTCGTGGCATAAGTGAAGTGAGTTTCGAAATGACATAGAAATAGAATATCTGAGACACATATATTCAATCAATTTTGTTTTGTATTTTACAAAAAATGGAAGCGATAGAATTTCTATACTAAATAACGTGAATTCGGACACATGAGGGAATTCGAAATCGGGTCTAGATTTTTACAGAATCGAAGGGCTGATCATGAAAATACTTTCTCCTATTGAGGCAGTGACATCATACATACATAGATGATATCAGGGGAAACCAGCTACTTACTTTATATATTATCTGGATGTATAATAATCTCAAAAGAAAAGAACTACATTATTATTTTAACTAATTAAATTAATGATTAAAATCCCATACATGTTTTTAAATGAGGCAATGTAATTAAATAGACACTTAGAATTTAATAAAAATGAAACTGACCTTATTGTACTTAGTAGCATAAGTGCCAGTTAGAAGCGAATGGAAAATAATAATTGTCTCATCCAGGTCCCAGATGAAGACTCTGTCCGTGGCAGGCTCTGGAACGTGTTGTGCTGGTGATGATGATGTGTTTCGCCTGCCTCGTCCACGTGATCTGCTCACTGTGCTTTCTCTGGAGATTGAAATTGAGTTATAGATTTAAATAGAACTTAGAATGATTGTTGTTAACATGTTAATATTATAAATTGCTTTTAAACATTTAAAATGAGTTGAGAAAAGTAGTTTCAATAGCTCATATCAAAAACAAATTTTTTTACAATGCCATATATATAAACAAATGATACACATAGTTGCATCTGGTTTTTCCAGTTTTATACATTGTACTGACAATTATAGTTATATATAAGGAAATCAGATTTGTGACCGTCAAACTAGTTATTTTAAACATCTATTTACTTTCTGAATTGAAAATGCCCATTAAGGCCGACTCAATGTTGGTCTCATAGTTTGAGAAATATTGGTCTAATGTGTTTGCCATATTTTAAAATACAACTGAAGCCATCATGTGATGGCTACAGAAACTATTTAAGTAATTAATTTTAGAGAATGAAATAACTGTACATGTATAATAAATAATTATCATGATTTATCAATACAATAAATATATCAAAACTAGAAAGAAAACGCATAGTAACCCACATAACCAAAGTTGTTATGTATAATATTTGATCAATTTTGCATTCACAATGCTGTACTGAAATATACTTTTAACTAGCCAGCAGCTTTGCCTGCATGGTCTTGTATGAAAAAAATCTGCATCAAAATCCGTTGCAGTTTTAAAGATTTAAGCATACATAAGGATATAAGGTCAGAGAAAGCAACTTTGTTTTATACTATTTTTGCAAATTTTTCAATACTAAAGTTGTTTTTACAGCAGAAATCTTTTGTTACTTCCGTATTAATTGGCTTCTCATCTATACTTTTATATTTATAGTATAAAAAAGGAAAGATTCAATTGTTTGTTTGTATTGAAATACTGGATTGGTTTCAAAAATATGGGAAGCTAAATCATATGAAGATGACATGGGCTTACTTATAATAGTCACCTATTATCATGGGAAAACAACTAAGTTATAAAAATAATATTTTAGTCAAGAGAAAAATAAACAGATTAAAAAGATTGAAATATCTCATACCCAGAATTTTCTCTGCATCTTCTTCCTGCCGCATGTATTTCACTTTTTATCGGTGAAAGTGGACTTGTTTCAGTTAATGATGGCAGCATTGATGATGGAGAATCTGCATATAATAATACAAGAATAAAATTATTTGTGTATATAGATGCATAATGAAAATATTAACTTATATTATTAATTAAACTTTTAAATTAAATGGTTTGTTAACTTTTAATTTATGATAATTCTGATTTACTTTATATAATTTTGATAATGTCAAATAGACGTTGGAAAGCTTATTGATAGGATAGGAGAACATATATTTATTGATAGGATAGAAAAGACAATATTTCTTTAGAAATTCGTCATATAAAACGCAGAGTTAACGCATTTAAAATAATATCAAATAAAACATACTATGATCATCACTGTCTGAATCTGACCAATAGTCCGAATTACCATTACGATCTGCTTCGGAATCACTATCGGTCAATTTTCTACGTTTATTAAGGTGATAATTATCATTTTCTTTATTCATCTCGAATGAATGTCTGTTTCCTTTTCGGATATAATTCGCTGATACTAATTTAAACCACGTCTACTTATATGTTTATTGGTAAGTAGATCTGTGTGATTGAAGAATGAACATGAAATTATTATCAATATAGATATAATAGCTCCCGAAAAAATAACAAATCAACTATACAAGTATACAACACAGCGATAATTCGACGACAATCAAATCAATCGGATAAGTACATGTCAATGTCATTTTGACGTTTATTTTTATGGTGTTTTTTAAATGTCAAAACAAAGGAATCCTTGTGTACACAGAGCCAAATTTTAATATGCTTATTTTAGTTTTGAATTTTATAGAATAGAATGAATTTATAGTAAAATAGACTACATTCTGATATTAAAATGAATAGAAAAGTTTTTTTTTTATTAATGCTAATACATTGAATAAACTTTGAACTGATAAATGAATCTATTTTAAAAATTATTTTATACGAGAAGCTTATAGAAGCTACGGGTATATATATATATCATACTACATATATCTGTAATAAAATTGTCAGTCTCATCTCTATAATCGTCTCACACTAACTGGTAGTGACAACAATGAGAACCTCTAATTAAATGTTAAGTATTTAAAAACATATTTAATCACCACGTATTTATCAAAATTACTCAGAGTTAATATCTGATGCCGCTACCCATTTTACTATACATACCTGATAATGCTCCTCCCAAATGATACGATGTGTGCCCTGCGCTGCCACTACTGCTTGGCGAGCTCACGTAAGGTGAATAACTAGGTGTTGCATAATATCCCCCATATTGGGCTACATTGTGCTCCGCATATCCGGCTGCATAGCTGCTATAGTCCTAGCAACGATATAACAATGTTATTGACATATCATGAGAAATTTGGAGCAAGGTTTATGCAAAACCGTAAAATTGAACAGTGAGGTAATGAGCTGAAGTCTTGTTAATATTTAAATTCCACTTTGTCTTTCTTTTTGAAAAACAATCGGATAATTGGACCTAACTAAACAATTTAATAAATAATAAATTACTATGACATCTAAGAACCGATCGAGTAATTTTTTGTAGGTATTTGCATTAAAGCAGTTTTTTTTTATTTTATCCATAAACACATATACATTTAAGCTTATTCTCATATTTTAAATTCGAACACACAAATTTAGTATTGCCGTTTTATTTTATGTATATAGAAGGAGAAATACTGCGAATAAGGATGTATTAAAAAAAACAAAGCATTAAATACGCACCACCACTAGATGGCGACTCTAGCAAAAGTTGATTTTTGCAGGAAATGAATGGTCTAAAGATAGTCATTTCCGTTGCTTTTAACTAACATATAAAAAACTGAAATTTCAAAGTTTGAAACTTAGATATCGATACAAATACGAAAAAGTACAAATAGAATATGAGTTGATTATTGAGTTTTAAAAACTAATTTACTTTTATACATGAAAGAAAACCGGAAGGGTTGTCATGGAGAAATCAAGAACGTTCTATAGAAACATCTAGTTTGATTTCGAGAGCTAATTTTATTTTAATACTTCCTAATTGATTCGGCCTGATTCGGCACACCTAGTGAACATTAAGCATAACGAAGAAACTGTCATCTTTTGGTGATCTTCTCGAGAAGGAAGTTTCAACAAATTATTATGTATTTCATTAGCATAAATAATAAGAAACCTGTTGCGTGGTCTGGAAGGACTGCGATAGACCACCGTTGTAGGAAGAATACGCGTAGGGCGAGTGTTGCGCACCAAAACCGGTACTTGATACGCCACTCACGCCATATGCACTGAGGTACGTCGGCGTCGCTTTACATGACGACCTGCCAGCATGTATAATAAGTATTAATTAACTGTTCATTGAGGAACTGAATAGTGCAGTGGTTAGAGTATTCGGTTTACAATTATGGAGGCAAAGCAACTTTCGCAAAACCGGTCATCATATGGGTGACCAGAAATTTAGTATGTACAGCTTTTAAGTGCTAACGAAAGCACGTGAAACCGTTTCTGGTTGAGTATGCAGTTATCTAGCCCGCGTTGTTGGTTTTGTACGCTGTTAACCCTCATAATTGTATCTATGACTGTCTGATCTGCCACCTCGGCTTAGAACTGTCTGATTTGCTCCTCCATCTAGAACTCTCTGATTTGTATCCTCCCTCGGCTTAGGACTATCTGAGTAACTCCGTCGGCTTAGAACTTCCTTATTTGCCCTTTAGCACTAGAACTGTCTCTCCGATTTGCATGCTCGGCTTAGAACTATCTGATTTGTCCTCTCAACCCAGAATTCTTGGTGATTTGCCTCCTTTTCTTAGAACTGTCAGATTTGCAAACCCTGACCCAGAACTTTCTGATTTACCCTCTCGGACTAGTGCCATCTGTTCTGCCCCACGGGCCAAAAATTTCTGATTTGCCCTTCCTGGCTCAGAACTTGGATACGTTCATGAACATATACATACAATACAGTATACTATGATCTTACCTATTATTAGTATTGTGCGGCGTTGGGTACGCTGCATATGGTTGATTGTAGAGCGTCGAGCCAACATACGACGAGGCAGCACCTCCTCCGCCATATTGTTGCATACTGAAATACAAAGACAAGATAAACACATTATTATTGAATACGTAACTAGGATATAGAATATACATATCAATAACAGTTACGTACAACAAGTGAAATAGAAAGTAGAGAGTCGTATCGTATCAATAAATAAAGCGAAATGTATGGTGAGATACTCCAACGAAGCATAGTTTTGCTAAAGAAGATAATATAAATAAGATAACAACAATCTTGTATCACTGATAATAATACTTCTTACGTTCCCCTCAATAAATTAAAAAAAAATAAGGAAGCTTTTAGCACTTTCATATAATGGAGATCTGTACAACATCCAGTGGGCTAATTATGTTTAATTTTAAAATCCATCATAATAGCTTTTAAAGCTAGGGTAGGTGATAGTGGTAGCATTTTATGGAATTTTATAATTATGTAGTTCCCAATCGCTTTTGGAAATGATGATGATTTCAATGATCTTCTTGATCATAATAAAAACTTACCTAAATCAGTCGAAAAAATTGCAGATAGCTTTTTGACATCAAGTCTAAAGCGTGCCTTAGACAATTCCAATTACTTTTTAATTAATGATAACGTTCATGTGATATCTTTCAAAAATATCGCGATTGCAACAGCTGGAATACGTTAAATAGTTATAGCGTGAAGTTCGTGAATATCTTTAAAATGTCAAATTACGATAGGTTTTAAAATTAGACAATTAGTACCCAGGGTGGCAATATAGAAAAGTTCATTTTCTTCATTGATCCGACTAGGAATAGATAAAACCGGGACCTCAGAGATGGCAACACCTTGAAACGGGCGTGCGAGTCATTGTGTTACGGAGGCCTTTATAAAAGTATGATCATTTTATGTATTCTTTGCATGTGTTTATGTATATATGTACTGTATATTTGCGTGTTCATGTATTTAGAAGAATGCTCAATAATTAAAGTCTGACCATAATTGAGCGGCTTATTGAGATTGATTGAGATCGTTCGTAGTCATCACTCGACACAAGAATGCGAGTGAGGAACTTTGTTAATTCATTAGCCATGAAATTCGTTTTATAGCCGGTAAATTTTAAACGGGCCATCAGATGCGTTGATGACCATAAAATTCAAGCAAGGTACCTACGAACTGAAATTGTTGGTTTAAGACGTCTTTAAACTGAATTTAAATCGATTTTAAATAAATTTACACATAACTAAAAGAAAAAAAAACAGCCAAAAACGAGAAAGAAAACCCAATAAACGTATTTGAGATTCCCATATCAAGCACTTACTTTTGATGTCACAAAGTATCAAAAGTAAGTGCTTGTTATGGGAATCTCAGGAGGTAAATAATTTTTTTTAACTAATTTCCCTGTTGAAGGAGACCACGTTTAAAATTCATCTAAATGTACCATCTTCTACTAAATACGTTTTCCGGACGGAGGTCCGGTGTGCCATGGGATGTAGAAAATGGAGTATATCTCTATAATACAAAATGTTTAATAACTTCTTAATTAGCTCAGTGGTTAGAGCAGTCGCCCGGATTGCGAAAGGTCGTGGGTTCGATTCCCATCGCAGGGTGCCAGGGAACAAGTGGATTTTTTAAGCATTTTGTATTAAGAAAAATTTTCAATATACCATTATGAATGCGAAATTAATCAAATATGAGGTTGAGAATCGCTAGTATAGTCAAAAAACCTTATTCATAAGTAATTTGTTATTCTTTCTTAGGCTGCGTTTACACCAAATCGACTATTAGCGTCTGCCTATGAGCGAACGTTACGCAGGTACGCAGGATGATTGCATTGTCAATCATCTTTTCGGTGGCATTCACTCAACTGACAATACATCAAGCGTAATGGACGATACAACATACGTTTAGTGTGAATATACTTACGCTTAATATATATACACTTAAGCGCTAAGAAACAAAAGAATTCTGTTGTGACCTAGTGAACCTAACAATAATAATTTCTTGGTCTACTATTTTATTTCACTAAAAAAAATCAATGAAGGAAGTGTGCCTTATTATCAAATTTTGGTAGTTCGCCCTTGAGTGGCTTCTTAGTCGTACATCGACCCCGACAAATTAAGTAGCCAGGAACAATACAGTGCGTTGATTATGATATATGATTGTAGATTAAAACGAAACTTCTAGATTATTTAAATTAACGTAATAAACTC